CAGTATTATTATAGTTAATAAAACTATTACTAAAATGAAAGCTAGCAGTGGAAAAATGTGCTTGTTAACTGTAGTAACAATAAAAACAACAATGAAAATGCAAAAACTAAATAAAAGTATAATGTCAAAGGCAAAACTAACTAAAACAAATAGAATTACTGAGAAGAAAAACTTGTAGTTTTACTTTTGTCAGTACGCTAAAAATGTAAAAACTCTGCATAGTGCATTACTGTCTATTCAGTCAGTATGGGTAGAAAACAGTATTTCATCTTTGCGATAGCTGCTTTCTTTTAGAGATGCAAGCACCAGCACCATTCCTCCATATCTAATAGTAACAAATATCTAGGAACCTAAAAAGGAATGTACCATTTCGCAGGGGTGGAGATAAAGCATGTTCTATCATGCTCAGTTGTCATTGGTAATTGACACATTGCTTTACAAATTTCCATAAAGTTAAACTTTGCTCATCTGTGTTGTGATGCCAAATATGCCTACTTCGCTATGCCAATGTTTACTCTGCTTCCTGTTACTGGAAATTGCCTGCTCTCATTGAAAATGAAGTATCCCCGCCCTCACTGTGGGTTAGAATGCAGGGTTAGAAAGTGTTCTCCACCACTAGCATCAGGACATCAATTGAAGGAAAATATTTTGGGACAATAGTGTTCCATTCCTCCATTAGAGCGCCAGAGACCTAAGATTGTTAAGGTGACTCATGGTGGCCCGACACCAACTGTATGTTGTTTTTTTTCCTATAATTTGTCACCTGTCTCTACATGGACTATTCTACTACATTAGTTTAAACTGTGGTCCACAGAAAAAAAAAACATTTTTTTCACACAAATACTTTATTTAAAAAAACAATTAAAAAAACAATTAAGCATTCAGACCTTAGAGTCTTACAAGGATTGTGATCTATTTAGATGCAAGGCATTAATTGAGACAGTAATAAGCAAAATATATGCAAAATCATCATTTATAGGGTACTTTCTATTGGCATATGTCTGTCCCAAACTCTAATCCCTAAATTTCAACTTGTAAAAATAATATTTACCTTTTTTTGCTTTTTTCTATGTTGTTTTTTAAAATTTATTTGTATGTTGAAAAGTTTTGTCATGAGTTTAATATTTAAATAAAAAAAAAGTTTATTCAAAAAATGCTGTTCTGTGTTTTCATGTCACTGCCGAAACACAAAGACTTTTAGTCCAAAGGCGGATCTTTATTTTAGCCACATGTCTGCATTTTAGAGCGGGAAGTGAAACTGTATCCCTGTCCCTCATGGCTACATGGTGAGCAGTTAAATCTCAGTGTTTTGAAGTCATTGTGTCCCAAAGTCTGAAAATCAGTGTGTAATGTTAAGACCTGTTACTACTGAAACAGTTTTCAACAGTGAAATAAATGTTTTTTTGTGTTTTAATGAAAAATATTATGATTTTATGTTTAACTCTTCAAGGCTGTGTTTGCTAGTCATGTACTGGCTAGTGTTTTTGAGGTATGCTGAAAATTAGCATAATGTGGTGGTGTCATAGTGTTTGGTAGTGTCACTATCAAAACATTTTGCAAAGTTTTGGATGCTTTATTACTGTTTTGGTAGTGACAAAACAAAATGAAAAAAAGTATATATATATATATATATATATATATATATATATATATATATATATATATATATATATATAGATAGATAGATAGATATAGTCACTATAAAATTTGTGTGTATATATATATATATTTATATATATATATATATATATATATATATATATATATTTATATATGTACATATATATATGAAATAAAATAAACATTATTACAGTATAGGGTCATTCAAAGCAAAAGGATTTTAGTCTAAAGTCCAAGTCAGTTAAAAGTCTGAAATGTGTTTTTTCAACTTTAACTTTGGACCAATTCAGTAGAATGATGCAAATATTCCACATATGACTCTCAATTACAGCCTGACTAAAGTAGATCTAAATGCAGAGACTCTACTGTGCCGCTCTCGCTAATACAATAAGAACACACTCTCTTTGCTTATTATGGAACTAAAGACCATGTCCAACCTTATTGCTCTCTTAATAACAGTAATGTTCTCAAAGCAGAAACCCCTGAGACACATATCCTCCTCTGTCTTTCATATTAATATTTTATTATTAGTTGAAGAATGACGCCTGTTATGCTGTGGATTATTATTTAATGCTGGAGGGTTAGGGGAATGCCAGCTCTCTGTGGAAGTGGACTGGTGATTATAATAATAGACAATATAATGGGTATTATTTACAGACTCTGCCCAAGGCACCACGGTAACAAGCTGATGGACAGTGTGTTTTTCCATGAGAGTGTGTTTAGTGTTGACTTCGGTAATATGGTGTAGGCGACTTGTGACAGTTTGATATAGTGCGGGTGTCTTGATTCTAGTCATCATCGGTTCAGCAGTGATACACACTACATTCCACCTCACTTTTACAGTGCATTGGGGTAGAAACTCGCTGGTTGCTATGTGTGGTAACTGTTATGAAGGGTTTGACTGACAGAACTGTGCTCCAGATTTGAATCTTTTGCCGAATCAGAGACATAAATATAATGAAATTCACAAAACCCAATGGTCATCTTTATTTCTCAGACATTTACATTTATTTTAATGGTTGTTTTTGTTATGGTAAAATACTGTACATCAATATAACTAGTCGAACTAGCGAAACTATTGAATTACAGTAAAAAGCAGTATTTCTAAGAAATTAAATTACAGTAATTTTACAAATTTTTACCATCATTGAGAAAACATTTTTACTTTTACCTATTTTTACAGATTTTTATTTACAGTGCACCATATAGGTGCACTTTGTACACAGAAATAAAGGTACTGACTGTGCAGGTACATTTTTCATTCATCAAGTACAAACAATGTAAATATACCCTCAAAGGTACAACAGGGGTTTTAAGGTCCAATTATGTACCTTAAATACATATTTCCCAGGTGTAAAGTGCCTTTTCATAACCTTACGTTTTAAAACATAACAATAAAATAAAAAGCCTGGAGGAGAGACGGGGTGTGTGGAGTCAATACAACTTAGAAAATATACTTTCGATGGATTATGGTGCAATTATGTTCCGTGACTAAAGGTACTGAGATGTAACCTCAAGGGTACCACCCTAGTGACAAGAGGGGTACAGCCCCAGTGAGTTTCATACCTTTATTTCTGAGAGTGTAGACTTACAGTTGCAGCCAGTCAGTATGTTTTAAAACTCTGCCTTTTGCAGCCTAAACCTAACACAAAACCACAAAAAGCTTTACCATCAGTCAGTCTCATTGCTGGCATAGGCCCAGCAGATGTGATGGAATCTTCTGTAACTGAGGGATCTGTAAAATAAGCATTAACAATTACATGCTTTGTTTGTATGACACCTTTAAATAAATAAATATAAATCTATAAATCAGCAATAACATTATGTAAAAAAAGTTTTCTACTCCCCTAAGATGTTTCCGTCCATTTTTGCGTCAGCGTTCACCATGTCTGCTGTATCTCCCGCAGTCATGTTTTCCTTCACTAGGCACAGCTCCTCCAGCAGCAGCTTGATCACCAGCCTGTGCCACAATTTCACCATCCTATCCTTGATGTATATATATACACACATATATTTATATATACATATATACGTGTGTATATATATATATATATATATATATATATATATATATATATATATATATATATATATATATATATATATATATATATACACGTATGTATGTATAAATAAATATATGTAAATATATCCCTGCTGGGACTTAAAACATGAAAATGGCTGTTACTGTCCTGCTGACTGCCAATACGTAACATCTGCAGAAAAGGAATGAAAATGTGAATTATTTGCTGTCACTGTCATAGACACAAAACACAAGGCTGAAAAGAAGGTTTTTAACAACAGTTTTTGAGAACTTTTGCAGAGACATACACATTTTGGTGAAGCTTTATTGTCCTGAAGGCTGTTTATATAAACTCTCTTCGAGGTCAGGCCTCTTTCAGCCAAGCGTGCGTGTATGTGTGGGTGTGTAAACGTGCATTCACTGTATCCTTCAGCTCCAGTTAATTTCCAAACTAAATGTTGCCCCACTTTAACAATCATGTGTGCGCACGTTACCGCATACAGGTTCCCCGTTTCTCTAACATCTCCCAGTAAAGCCTTCAGCATTTTAATCTCATTTATTCACTGCTCATATACAGTATAAATAGAATTACCTGTAGCAGCTTTGACAGTGATTTCTACAGACATACGCTTGTAGTGACCTTAGAGCAGTGGTCTCCAACCCTGGTTCTGGAGAGCTACCTTCCTGCAGAGTTTAGTTCCAACTTGTATTCAATTAGCCGCCCCACTCCTTACTTAACTCTAGTACATCTGATTCAGCCAGTCCAATCATGGACCATGGAAGAGGTTGATTAGCTGGAGCAGGTGTGGCAAATTGTGGTTGAAACTATGCTCTGCAGGTAGGTAGTTCTCCAGGACCAGGATTGGAGACCACTGCCTTAGAGCTTTTCCCATTTCAGACCCCTAAATCTCAAAATGCTACAGTTCTCATGTAGCTCGAGGGGGCTCTACTGATGAAGAGTAGTTCTTAAAAGAGTAATTAAAACTTTAATGTCTGGAAAATGTGGTTCTAGCTTAAGAATGTAAGCTCAGACTTTAGCATGTTTAAGCAGAGATGATTTTAGTAATGTATCTCCCTCAGCCACTTTACTGTTGCTCTCTTTAGAAGTCTAGCGTTATGGTAGTTAATTATGTTTGAGCACACCTGGTCAAATAACATGTTCTGTTGAATTTCTAAGTGAAAAAGAACAGAGAACGCACTTTTAATGCATAGTTATTGTTTACTTAATTCAATTGAAAATTGTTGGAATTTTTTCTATCTTGACCACAATGTTTAACACACTTATATCTTACTAAGTTTAAATATAGTAGTCAGTTTCTGAAAAGTTGTTGGTTTCTATCAGGTGTCCCATCGTCAGGTGTCCGTGGTGCACCTGCTGAAGACAATACGTTTGCTGCGGCTGCTGCGTCTGCTGCAGAAGATGGACCGCTTCTCGCAACACAGCACGGTGGTGTTGACCCTGCTGATGTCCATGTTCGCCCTGCTGGCCCACTGGATGGCCTGCATCTGGTACATTATTGGCAAGAAGGAGATGGAAAGCAATGCGCACACACACACCTGGGATATAGGTGAGATTACTGTACTTGAATGTCTCCATGCACGCAATCACAGACTTAAGCACTGTTCAAGTTAGATTAGTTTCACCAGTGGAGGATCTTTAATGTAATCTGTAATGTATTTGACTGGCCAGTTTGTACAGGATAAAGTCTCTGTGTAATTTCCCCAAATTTCCACAGATAGTCCAGATGGAAACACAGTCTGGATCTTCGTATTAGCATTAAGTGACTCTGGCATTGCTACTGACATTCACTGTAGATTCATAAATTTTTAAAATAACGGCTCTCAGGAGAAATCACCTAATCATGGGAATAATTACTTGGCAGCTGGCAACTTTTAAAATCTTTTAAAATACTGAAAAAGAATAAAGCCTAAACAATATTTTAAATGCCATGGCAACATAAAACCTTCACACGGCAGCAGGCTTTGTTCAGTTTTTTAAGCTTTTATTTTTTGGCTCAGAGATCAGAGTTGGAGATAAGGGATGGCAAAGGTAGATGTACATTCAACGGGGAGTGAGTACAGAGTACTGCAGTGGTGAGTGTAAAAAAGACAAGTAAAAATTTGGCTAATCAACCAAACACATTAGCATTTGTTGCCAAAGTATATTACAAAGAGAAGCAGCAGCTCCAAAAAACACAAAACACTTTTGAAATTGCAGAACTGATCTTTCATAGAGTAGGCACTGCAGACACATTTTATTGTATTATTTATTTTATAGTATTTTACCACTAGCTTGCTCACTGACTGGTCAGTCATGCACAACTAAAGAGACTGTGTTAGGAAAAATCTGCTCTGATTCTGATTGGTTCAACATCAGCATCTTCCAGTATTCCCTGGCTAACTGAAACCCAACCAGACAAAAACCTCTTATTTGAAATGACCAATATTATTCCTTATTTGCCAACCAATAGTAATCTTTGCAGGAGCCTATAGCTAAAAACATAAACATGCATTAATAAAATAAGTTGACAGCCTGTTTAAATTACAGCACCTTCCCACATTAAACTAATTCAGCTCAAATACTTTACATACAGGAAGTTTTACTTTGGACTTTGTATTTTTAATACACAGCTTCTATTTTGTAGAAGGTATGAGGGACACTCTGAAAAAAGATTTGTCTTAAAAATTACTTCCCCTTTTGTTAAAATAAGAATTCTGGTTATTGACAATTTAGCGGAGTCGTACAGCCAGTACCTAAGAAACATATTTTGGTACTGATTACAAATTATGTGAATGAAAATGTGATCAATTACATAATCTTGTAGATTATTTCAAATGTGTAACCTAATCTGAATACTTGCTCCCTTACTAATGTTTCTGTTTGAACTGCTTTATGTGGTTTCACTTTTAAATGGATTTCATCAAGTTTAGATCACTATATGTAACTACAGTTATGGTAGACATAGTGTGGCAGCTATTGTATGGTTTACAGTCACACTTTAAATTAAATTATAGATGGCAATGTTGATGTTACCTAATTAAAAATGTAATCCTTAAAAATAGTAATCCATTAAAAAAACTCAAATCTGATTATACTTCTTTTCAAAGGTACATTAATTGAGTTACAACTGTTTGATTCTTGTCAGTTTGCATAATAAAATACATGTATTCTGTTACTACACTGAATACAACAAGACATCCAGAGTGGTGTGGAGGCCTCAGTTGGCAAATGTGAGTTTGGACTACCGTGCTGGAATTATACCCTCTAATCGACCTGATCAATTCTGAACAACTGCTCCTGGTAAATATGCGCACTATAAAGGTTCATCAAGCATGCTTAACAGGATCACCCATGGAGTTTGTTCAATGCTTTATTGAGAAAGCGAAGGATAGTGAAAGAAATAAAGAAAGAGCGAGACACAGAGAGAGTGATGAAGAGCTTACAGGATGATAAATGACAGCGCAGATGCGGAGCCTTGTTGTGAAGAATGGCACGATGATGCAGAGACGAGGAATGGAAAAAAGGCAGGAAAATGACAAAAGGGAAACCGAGAGAGTGCATTCACGCAAGAGAGGACAGACTGAGGAGAAGGGAAGAATAGCCCTACAGTGGATACTGCTTCACCCCCACCCTCCCACACTAGCTGTAATTAGGCCCAGAGCGCAATGCTGTGGTCAGCATTGATGGGCCACTGCTGGGAGAGGGCCTCGGCGCTCTCTGATCAGAACTGATGGAGAACTCTTTCCATCCCCTTGCTGTGACGCCACTGACCCCCAGGCCTGCTCCGGAGGGCAGTTACTATAGCAACAATGGGCTGGAAATTTTATGTGCAGTCGAATGAATATAAGACTAGGTAAAAACACAAGTGGCTGCTTGGTGACTGAGCTGACAATTAAGAAGAAGCTGTGTTAAAATGTAACTGCAGTGAAGTGAAGAAATGAGCAACTGCTAAATGCACCAAGGAGCAGCTAAGAGCAGCTAGCTATTACGAAACTGCCTAATTCACAGTAGTATTACTCATTTTATCTTGCTCTGTGGGCTGTTTTGTTCTGATTTGACATTTATCCTATGTCAGTAGTTCTCAAACTTGGGCGCGCATTTAACAAACTTCAAGAAAATGCTGATCTGGGATTAGTATATGCCTTTTACTTAATGCTGAATAGGAAATGGACTGATATGGCCCTAGCTGCTTCAGGAATCTTTTGCTACTGCTTCTGTCCATCCACGCTTCGCATTGCTATTGCTCCTCTCCTATGGCAGAAGAGCATAGACAAGTAAAAGGGACTAGAGGAGCAGGAAAAATTGAGTAATTGGGGAAATGGGACACAATCTTTTTTGATGTTTTCCAATTTTATGTCAACTCTAGACCACAAGTCACGTGTTTTTCTGTAGTCTGCATCATGCGCTTATTAGGAACTCTGGGTAATTTTTATATGACAAAAACAAATTGCCACTGATGCTCCCTGTGGTAAACAAAAAGGTTCTAAACTCCTTATATTTTGTGTTCATTTGTCTACTGAATGTCACTGAATGAATGTCACTGGATCCTCTGGATTATGAGGCCATTAAGGAAGGATGTGTTTGTCTGAATTGGCATCATAAAACTGCTCCCCGAACGCTGCAGATAGGGCTGCCCACCGCTCCGGGCAGGTGTGCTCACTGCCCCCTAGGGTGTGTTCACTAGTGTGCATGTATGTGGGTGTTTCACTGCATGGATGGGTTAAATGCGGAGGTCTAATTCTTCTGTGTGCAAGCACAGTTGGCCAATAGTTCTGAATGCAAATGTAGCCATGTTCATATTTTGACTCTGACCTGATACATTTTGCCATACCTGCGTATTTTCAGGGAATGTCACTGGATCCTTTGAATTAAAAGGTTGTAAAGGAGTTGAAATATGAATATTGCTCTATACATACAAACAGCAAGTTACCACTCCTGCGCATTAAAAGTAAGTCTACTATTAAACTTCAAAACTATTACATAATAACACCAGCTACTCCTAATGTACTGCCAAAGCAACTACTACACTTGACCAAGCTTGCTTGTTTGTCTCGGGTGTTTTGGTGAGGCTGCCAGTCATATGACGTCAGTTTAGTGCACTGCAGTGTTAGCTCGCATGAAGCAAAATTCATATTTTGACCCCTTAATGACCTCGTAGTCCAGTGCCTGCAGTGATGTCATTCTAAAATCTGAAAATAGCATCTTAGGTACAGTACACTGGCATATCCTTCGATAGAAGCCACTTTGGCAGGTTTTCGGAGCAAGTTTTCATGTCTTCTCTGTATTGGGACCACCAATAAAGTTGTGCCACGCACTCAGTGGGCAGTCAAGTCCCGTCGGGTTCAGACATAATTTTCCAAGTATATGTTGGGTTATGTTCGGGTCCAAATTTCACAGCCCGCCTCTCACTTTTAAAAGATTTTACCCTGCATTCCCCCTGCTTTAAGTTTTTTCTTTATGCTATTCTTGCTCCGTACTTTCAGTTATTTGAAACAGTTTTTAAACTGGCACGCTGGAGTCGCTCACTTGCGGAAGGTACAGGAAATTACAGGAAAGTACAGATTAGCTGAATTTATTTGTAAAATATTTGATGTTATATGTTCAATATGTAACGTGAAGTGATTTAGGATTAAACAGATGAGGCTGAAATCTTGCTTTGTCAGCAGTGAACACTGTGGGATCAACACAGTATGGAACGTTTATCCAGACTAAAACATTTGAAATGTTATTCCATAGCATTGTTTGATGAAAAAAAATCATTGAATCATTGATTCAATTATTTTATTATACTTAGGGCAGTGCTGGGCTGGTACAGGTCAGTTTTTGGAGAGAATTTTGTTGTACTCGTGTCAGTTTCTGACTCAGAACCTGATGATGTGGTTCAGGTCAGGCTTGGGAAGAATTATGTTGAGGTCAGGCTCAGGCTCAGCTTCAGACTCAAAATATGATGCCGTGTTTTGGGTCAGGCTAACATGGGACTTTAAATACTTTATATAAGCTTTAAATACAGTAGATGAGCTGATTAGGTACCTATCAGTGTCAGCTAACACTGTATCAACACCAGTCAATCATCTATCAGCAGCATAGACATTGCTTTTCCCATTTTGTATTGTATTGAGTGTACTGTATTTGTTCTCTGTCCCCTTGCTGCCTCTTTCAGGCTGGCTACATGAGCTGGGCAAGCGGCTGGAGTCTCCATACAGCGTGGCCAATGGCTCATCCGGTAGTGGACCATCATTGCGTAGTGTCTACATTGCCTCACTGTACTTCACCCTCAGCAGCCTGACCAGCGTGGGCTTTGGCAATGTCTCAGCCAATACCGATGCCGAAAAGATCTTCTCCATCTGCACCATGCTCATTGGAGGTAGGTGTTGATGTGACTGTGGGTATATGCAGCATGGGCATCAATGGGAAGATGGTAATGCTAGCAAACAGCATCCATGATGCAGGCTCCTCAGATTCAGTAGGGACTAAGGACTAAGTTTAGCTAAAGTGTGATTAAAACATGTGGTCCAAGATGATATTGGTTGAACTGTTCAAAATAAATTTGAACTTGTAAATGCTCAGATCACTCCCCTGACTTTCACACAGAGTTTTTTTGGTACCTTCTATGTTGCTGTCGACACGACAGTGCTTTTAATCTGCTCCTAGAATTCTATGATGGTCGTCAGTGCTTGCAGAGAGATTGGTCAGAATTAAACCTGCCAATCATAACAAAGCTGAGATCAAATAAAATGTATCTGTATTGCATTGAATGTGATACATGTAGACAAAGTAGACCTGTAAGTTATACTGAGCATTATAGTTGAGCAATAACAGTAAAAATGTATAATGTGGAATTTTAAAAATGATGTTGGTGTTTAAAAATTATTATATTGGTGGAAAAATGCCATAAGTCACACATCACTCAAGTTCTATTGTCACTCCAATCAACCTAGTCAATAATAACTGCTTACTGATTCCAAATACTCTCTCAATGAGCACGCTCACTCTCTGGGGAAAAAAGTCATAACACATGCAACAATAAAGGAAGCCTTGGGCATCTTTTATATAGTGATAGAAACACAGTGCCACACAGAAAGCTCTGATTCTACGTACAAAAACGAGTTTAAGGTGTCATCGCTCAGAATGGATCATTGTCTGTTCCTTAGGGTTAAAGAAAGTCCTTGAATAACACAACTGTAATTTTACCGGTTTGAAAAGGTGGAGAAAAAGACGCCACTAGTTACTCAAACTTTAGTAAACCACTTAATGCAACAATGAGGACCTATATGTGTTTGGTTAAATTAAATCTCTGTGTTTTGTTGGGATGTGTTGTGGTTTACCATGCTCTCAGAATTATGCGTACAGTAGCTGTTGGAATGTGACTCCAGATTTGGGTTAAAGGTAGGTAAAAAGGTTGAGGTTTGGATCAGGGATTGTTCACTCAATAAAGCTCTGCCATTTGTGCAGACTGTGTGGGTGCACGAGTGTTTGCTTTTATAGTGGTAAATGGGTTGAACCGAGGTCCCACCAGCTGTTGGTTCATATTAATAATTCATGGCCTTTATTTTGTGAAATGTCACCCCCAGCCTGAGGGCAATCGCGTCCTTCTCCCTGTCCAACAACAATACATACATACACACAATCAAGACACACATCTCTCTCTGACAACAGCATGCACACATAATCAAACACCACCTGTATCTCTTGCAGCATTTACAGTAGGGCAGGTTGGATTTCTAAATCTTAGCTCCTGGTGATGTACCACTCCGGAGAATATGGATGTGGGAAGTTCCTACTTGATATTTCTGACTTCTGACCCCAAATGATTCCAGAGTCTGGAGCACAAAAAAAGATGATGTATGAGCAAAGAAAATGGCTGAACTGGTGTTTGTTTTGCAGTTATGTGAACAGTTTACAAATAAACACAAATATACCAAGCACTTTATTAGGAACACCATACTAATACTGGGTAGGACCTCCCTTTGCTCTCAAAACAGCCTCAGTTCTTCATGGCATTGATTCCACAAGATGTTGGGAATATATTCTTTTAAGATTCTGGACCATGCTGACGCAAGTCCTGCAGATTTTTCAGGTGCGCTTTTCATACTGTGAATCTCCCGTTCTGCCACATCCCAAGGTATTCTATTGGATTCAGATCCAGTGACGGGGAAGAATACTAAGCTCATGTTCATGAAACCAGTTTGAGATGACGTTTGCTTTGTGACACTGTGCATTATCATACTGGAATTAGCCATTAGAAACTAGGTAAATTGTGGCCATGAAGGGGTGCGCATGATCAGCAACAATACTCAAACAGACTGTGGTATTCAAGCGATGACTGATTGGTATTAACAGGCAAAAATTGTGCCAAGAAAACATTTCCCACACCATTGCACCACCTCCACCAGCCTGAACTGTTGACACAAAGTAGGTTGATTCCATGGATTTATGCTGTTGGTGTCAAATTCTGACCCTACCATCAGTGCACCTAGACAGAAATCAGGATTCATCAAAGCTATGTTTTTCCAGTCTTCAACTGACTATTTTTGGTGAGTCTGTGCCTACTGCAGCCTCAGCTTTCTGTTCTTGACTGACAGAAGCAGAACCCAACGTAGTCTTTTGCTGTTGTCGCTCATCTGCCTCAAGGTAACGTGATGTCTATTCTGAGAAACTTTTCTGCTCATCACAATTGTACAGAGTGGTTATCTGAGTTACCATAGCCTTTCTGTCAGCTCAAACCAGTCTGGCCATTCTGCAGTGACCTCTCTCACCAACAGGCCAATGGTTTTCATCCACAGAACTGCCACCCACTGGATGTATGTTCTTTATTGCAACATTCTAAGAGTAAACTCTACAGACTGTTTGATATAAAAATCTCAGGACATCAGCAGATCAGTTTGTTTGGCTTCTTTTTTCCCTAATATTTCTTTTTAATATTTTTACTGAAATATTTGGTAAAGTTTCAGTGGTGTTATGATTGTTTTGGTAGTGACAAAATGGAATGTTCAATCTTTTACTTTTAAAATAAACATAATTAAAGTATAGGATCATTTAAAGCAAAAGGATTTTGTCTAAAGTCAGTTAAAAGTCCAAAATGGCTTTTAAGCTCTGACTTTGAACCAATTCAGTAGAATGATGCAAATATCAGTCAGTCAGAATGGTTAGAGTTGATTGGGTTACTGTGAGAATATGAGGTAATCATATCAGCTGTCGAAAAGCACTGTACCAGCAGTGGCGCTTTTGAGATACAGTAAACATAACAGACTTATTCTGATATATTGCTAGTAATATGTGAAACATCAGATGGAACAGCTGAATGTTGCGGTGTTCTAAACAAATGCAAATGCTGAATGTAATTTTTCTTTTTTTTGTTTTTGTGTATCAGCACTCATGCACGCCCTGGTGTTCGGTAATGTGACGGCCATCATCCAGCGCATGTACTCACGCTGGTCGTCGTACCACACGCGCACTAAAGACCTGAAGGACTTTATAAGAGTGCACCACCTGCCCCAGAGCCTTAAGCAGCGCATGCTGGAGTACTTCCAGACCACATGGTCCGTCAATAACGGCATCGACTCCAACGAGGTAATCTTGCAAGCGCAGTGTGTGTGACTGACTGGAATGAAATCCTTAACGATGACCTACAGCTATACTTGTGGGCAGCACTGCGTCATTAAATTTTCACATATCGCTGCTGTCAGAACAAAACCTTGTATCTCCATTTTTGCCATTTTTCAGTTTTTGATATAATTTGAAAGCTGTTACCTGTGTGTAAATTTAATGATAAATGGACCAAATTAAATGGCCCAGAATTACTTGGAAAAACGTCTGGTTCCATTGACTTACATTAATAGTAAAGTACGTTTTTTTCCTTCTCCTGTAAAGTTACCATTTTGGAGATACAAGGTTTTGTTCTGACAACAGCGATATGCAGGTTGCTCTAGTACACATTCATGCTGTAACAGTATAAAACAAAGTAGCAATAGTGCATTTGTGTACTTAATTTTGTGTTAAAAATGTAATTTGTAACTAAAAACATTACTATATCAAAGTAATGTAATCTGATTATGTTACTTTTGAATGACTTGTCTTTTTTAAAGTCATATAATTAAATGAAGAGAAGAGAAGAGCAATTTCAACAAGACTTTTTAAACAAGAAGTTAACAACTGCACTGTTTTATAATTTATAAAAAGTTATTGGGGACTTAATTGTCTGTGCTTTGTAAATGCTGTATGTACATCTGTTTGAAAATTGGGTATTTAAATAAGGTGTGATGTAGAACTACAGCAACTTGGGGACATAAGCAGCTAACATTGTTTCAAAAACAAGTGGTCACTCATCCTTTAGCATCCGTTTAGCATAATGACCAAATCTAAGTGGATCAATATACACCGATCAGGCATAAATTAAGACCACCTCTTTGTTTCTACGATCATTGTCCATTTTATCATTTCCACTTACTATATAGGTGCACTCTGTAGTTCTACAATTACAGACTGTAGTCCATCTGTTTCTCTGCATACTTTGTTAGCCCCCTTTTACCCTGTTCTTCAGTGGTCAGGACCTCCATGGACCCTCACATCCACGTGGTGGTGGTGTGTTAGTGTGTGTTGCGCTGGTATGAGTGGATCAGACACAGCAGTGCTGCTGTACTTACTTTTAGCAAGAGTTGATGTAATGTACTTTATTTATGTAATAGCAATGTACAGGTTTGAGTCAAGTAAATTCAAAGCAAAACTTTTTTCAGTGCAGTTGGCTTGGTGCATCAGAGCACCAAGTGTTTTGTCAAACTGTTTCGTTGTTCAAATGACTTAATGGAACAGCTCTTACTGTTATTTCGATACACTATTCCAATGTAATTACATAAAATAATTAATTTAGTGTCAACAAGTGACAAATCTGTTGAAAAAATACCTATTAACACTGAAGTGGCATTGATTGAAAGTTTAGAATCAGTCTCCACTTGGATCAAAATAATGAGAAATAATCAATATCAGATAACACCAAGCCGTTGTTGCCAGCAAGGGTAAGGACTACCATCAACTTTGAGACCCGACCTGAGCAGGCCTGACAGATACAGCTAAATTTAAAACCTGTATCTAACCCAACCCCACTAAGAGACAGCAAAGATCTTTCTTTGTAGGTAAACACTTTGATCCACAGAAAATTAACTAAATAAAACTCTACACACTGAAAGTCTAGCTTTAACATTACTTAACTGCTTGAAGAAGTACTCTGTCACTGGCATTTTTTTGGCTAGTGGCTTCTGCAGAACCTCAGCATCAGTGGATCAAGATGACATGTCATTCCTCCTGCTGTCACAGGTTAAACTTGCAAGCTCTACTTTACGTGACCAGTGTGTTTTTTTATCTCATGTAATAACTAGCTCATAATGTTTCCACAGTGACAACACACCTGACTCAATTTTAAACAGATCCCTTTTAGCAAGCTTTCTTTTTATTTTGTCTTTTAGTAAGACTGGCTGTGTTGTACAAATAGTCTATACTAGAGAGTGAGAGTGTCCACCTGATATTTTGTTGGCCTCATTAGGCTCGAATCAGGTAGCAGCCCTCTAGATAGAACCCACAAGCAGCTCTGAACATTTATTGCACGCCTAAATAACCTAAGAATAACAAAAGAGGGAATTAAGGGGTTAAGTGATTTTAACTGTTTTTTTTTTTCGAGTCAGATGCATTTTTTTATTTAAATGAATTTAAGGCAAAAATAAAAGACATGAATAAAAAAGCAATGCTCATCAAACACTTCAAGTCAACTTTTACCCTATTCCCCTTTTATTCTTCATTTCCGATTTCAGTTACAAAGACAATTGCATTCAAGAGTTAGGGTGCCCCTGGTCAAATGATGTTTTTTTTTTTTTCTATGTAATTCCTAAGGGATTTTCCTCTACAGAGAACACGTGTGCACAGTTTAATGCACAATTACTGTTTTTTTCTCAACTTATTGGGGGAAAAAATAAAATGTTCAATGTGGCCTATGCAAAAGTTATGGCACATTTAAAATTGCATGTTTTTTCAAATATGTTAAACTCAGAAGTTGTCCTTTAAAATTACCAGAAAAATGCAATTTTAAAGTTTGTGCGTCTGCATAGTTTAATGCACATTTACTGTTTATTGTCTCAATTTACTGGGGAAAAAATGTAAAATGTGGGCACGTCATGGCACATTTAAAATTGTATGTTTTTTTTTTTTAAATTAAACCCAGAAATTGCCCTTTAAAATTAAAAAATCAAGAACATATCCCTGGTTCAGTTCGCTGCCAGTGGGAACACATTTTTGTGATGGTGCTGCACCAAATGAGGGAAATCAATATCAAAGCTTTTTTCTGTGTATTAGCTCTGTACTGTCCACACAATCTACTGGTTTCAACGTCTGTCTCTAAACTTTCATATCGTTCTTTCAGCACTGAGCTGCTTCTGATAAAGGCAATTGAGCAACAAAATAAAAGTAAAGCAGTACTTTAGATTTTGGCACATGGATTGCAGAAGGAATAGCACCGGATTAAATTAAATTAAAATTGACAAACAAACCATAAAGAAGCAGATATGAAGTTAGATTTATTGTTATTGCTTTGACTGTGATACATATAGTTGTTAAGAGTTTTTTTTTTTTTTGCAATATAGTTTTTGGCTCAAATGGTGACAATCGTTACAGTAACAGAGTACTTGCATTTAACTAGTAAACGTACATTAATGTTTATGATTTGATGCACTTTAGCTGTTGCAGTGTGAAACTTCAGTAAACAAACTAGGCATGAAAACAGCCTTATTTTAACTTAGAAAATCAATAAAACAGGTATCTTCACTGAATATTTGACTGCATATTAATCGTTCTGCTCCAAGAAATGACCCTATAGCTCTTACAGTTAACTTTAAAATTGATGTCAGGAATATTTCAGGACCGCCATTAATGACCAGTAACAGCTGGTTACAAAGATTATTATAGACACTGGAATGAGTGTTGAAAATGTGTTCAGGACATGGAGAGAGAGAGAGAGAGAGAGAGAGAGACTTTCTGCAGTCTGTCCTTGAGCTCAGACACTCTATTCCAGAAGTGAGAGTGGTGGGGGAAAGGGGCGAAAAAACTGAGATGGAATATAAACACCTAGCTAAATCACAGAGTTATGAATAATAGATGGTGTGGCTGATGGCAGGGAAGTGAGAGGGAGAAAGAGAGAAAGAGAGAAAGAGAGAGAGAGGGATGAGTGTGCTGCGAGCGGACAAGGCAGTGACAGATGCCACTCACTCAGGCTGAATGAAGGATGGAGGCTTGAGTGAAAGGATGGACGGGGCGGATGAAGGGCAGCAGGAGTGAACAGTGAAGCAGTGGCGGTGTGCTCTTTGGCTCCTTCTCAGGAAAGAAGAGCAACTGGACTTTCTGCTGTTACGTAACTTGGTGTAAAAGTGAAATAACTCTGTAGCAAAGGGTCAAAGCACCTGCTGGTAGTGAGAGGAGAAAAATATTTGCATGACCTCTCAATATATGATGGGGATACTACAGATTTATTACAAATGTGATGCTGGGCTGCTGTAATATGTTGCATCTTATACTGCGATTCCAGTCTCACTTTATTCATATAAATAAAAGTATAATTATTTTAATATGGGCACAAGTTATTATTATTAATAATTGACATAAACAAATATCACAAAAAGAAATATAATTCCTTTAGAGTATGGTATCGCAAAGCAACTGTGGAACGCTGAATGAGGATTGGTCACCCATTGCTGTATATTGCGGTCATTTCGTGAATTTTTTAACTTTTTTATTGTATAAGAATGAACATGCGATAACACAGCACTATTTAATGCAAACCTTTCTCTTTATAAGTACAATTTTGCCACCAAATTACCACCGCGAGTCTTATTCGGCGCCCCTCTTCTCGTGCTGAGGCTGAATCTCAAATGGCTCCCTCCTCCCTACATGGTGGACTATGTTGGTATTTAAATACTGGATCCTGCACCCCAAATGCACATATTATAGCTAAGAAATAGTCTTTTGGCCACATCCATACTCACTAAATGATGCACTATTTGGCTGTAGAGGCCAGAATTTCTAAACTTCCATAGCTAGCACACTGTTTAGGGAATACAGAGCCGTTTGGGATTCAGCCTGGGTTTAACACTGCTTCTAACTGAAACACGAACATTTGAAGCATGTAATCCACTGCAGTTTCACCGTTACTCATATTGTAAGTACTTTAATTGAAGCTTGTGATATTAATGATGGAGTTGTTTAGCCTGTTAGCTAGCTGACCAGCCTAGTTCTAGTTAAGAACATAAGTTTGCAGCCGCTCAGTTTAAACAAAAAACAGGTTCTTACTTCATCAATATACTCTGTGGTCCATGCGAGCATGAGAGTCAAAGATTATTCCATTAACAACAAAAGTTTTTTTTTCTTGCTGTAGCGTAGTAATATACACTTCAGTTGTTGTGAGGCGGTCCTAGGTGTGCGCACATCGTGGATTTTACAAAGGCTTTGAATGCGGTTCAGCCAAACAGATTTTAGGACCAGAACTATCCGTTTTGAACTATTTGTTTTAGGTTTTCTAAAATGACTGCTTAGTGTGACTCAGCATGATTGACCTCCCTCATGACTTGGTTACCAGTTACTTTAAAATGCTGCAGAAAAATCACTTCATTTTTGTATGTGCAAAATAGTATTCATTTCACTTGACCTCAAGGACAGTGACTCAGCAATAGTTTCGTTTTTAGGAGTGTGTTTTCTACATGGTTTTGCTGACATGTTGTATAAACAGTAGGAAATAAGTTCAAGTGTAATAGCCTCGCATTCATATTTTATATGTCCATGTTTTGAGGAAAGGTGATTAACTCAAACGCCTGCAGAAAAACTGGCACTGCAGCAAGTTTTCATTTTCTATGGTAAAGTAGCTCCCCTCTGCAGACATTTAAACATTTAACTTCTGAAAACGTGCTTCGCTTCTGCAGGCTATGTCTGTTTATGGTACCTCTATGATACTGGCCTATATAGCCAATACCTTAGACAAGACTGAGACCAGGATACATTGAGAGACTTTGTAGTAGTCAAGTCCAAGATCAAAACAAGACTGAGACCAGATTAAGATTTTTTTCAGAACATGGAAAGAACAAAGTTTGTTTGTAGTTCATTGTACATTGTTCATTATCATTCATTACAAATGACATACATTAATAAATAATATTATATTTTATAATATATTTTGTAAAATATAACATTAAATAATACATAGCCTGAAAATGTTATCCATTGTTATTATCTTACTGTGTTAGTCCAAGTTTGTATTGTAACTTTTGGAAGTAAATGATTGTGAGATTATTCTCTGTCCCTTCTCTTCTAAAACTAACTCAATATCATCACCTAAAGTCAACTGAATATAAACCAAACAACATACATTCATGTTTATTATTAAACGAAAACATAGTGATAATAACATTCTGATCTGCCCTCAGCGGATGTTTGAATTTTTGAACCAATAAACAACAAACGAATAAAACCAAATAAAACAAAAACAAAATCATCAGTTGGAGAAAGAGCAAGAACACTGCTTCATTCTCTTTGAAGGTTGTGTCGTATTCAACACTGATTTAATAGCACTCGGATGGTCTCGACAACAATTAACAATTTCCGCCTTACCCTGAGACCGAGATGAGGCCGAGCCCAAATGATATCGAGACCGAGATGAGACAGAGGCCATTAACTTGCAGTCTCGAGACCAAGACCGAACTCAAGTAATCACTAGTATTAATCCCTGAAATGGTCTGTATGTCAGCCTACACCTCAGTTCCTCACTTATATAGCCACAAAGCTTTGATATTAGTTCTATAATAGTTACCAAATAATTTACTGTTGTTAATGAATAGTATGGGTTAATAAGGGTTCACAGGGTTAATACTGATAATTTTACCATTATCTTTAATCTCTGCATCATTTCTCTTGCCTCAGCTCTTGAAGGACTTCCCAGATGAGTTGCGCTCAGACATCGCCATGTACCTGAATAAGGAGATTCTGGAGCTGGCTGTGTTTTCGTCTCTGAGTCGCGGCTGTCTGCGCTCTCTCTCTCTGCACATAAAGACGTCGTTCTGCGCTCCGGGAGAGTACCTCCTGCGGCAGGGAGATGCACTACAGGCACTCTTCTTTGTCTGCTCCGGCTCCATGGAGGTGCTCAAAGATGGCATGGTGCTTGCTATTCTCGGTTAGTTAGTCATTTTGGATTTGCATGAAAGCACACACACACACACATAAATATTGGTTTTAATACATTGTCAAGTTGTGAATTTGTACCAGAGGTGAACCTTCAGGGTCATCTAGGCCTTCAGAGAAGGTCTAATGGTTTCTGGGGACTAAAAAGTACATGTCTATAATTTTTAGTTCATTTTTATTCAGTAAAACCATGCTTATATTTAGACGCTGCAAATATTACAGTATGACTACAGTATGACTGTAAGAAGACAAAAGGGGATGGAAACAAAAGGTTTAAATTCTTGAAACAGCCAGTGGAAAATTGACCAATCCGGAATTGTTTTTTTCTGTGGTATTTAGGTAGATATAGCCAGAAAAGTTATAAAGGAAGAGCTGGTTGCACTACGAGCAGATAAAGGTGTTTACGGGGAAAGACCCTCTCATTGTGGAGATCTGCACAAGCGCAGTAGCCAGAACAACCCCAAAAATCATGTTTTTTTGTGCATTATTGAGCCAAACACTTCAACCTATTTATGGCATTTTTGTCAGATTTTACTGGTGATTTTAAATATGTACTTAAATAGTAATTTGGCCTTCATTTTCAAGTATTTTGGTCTCTCCCCATTTAAAGAGAGAGGAGTCTGGTCTTGGCTGAAAATAACTGCCTGGTGGCGTTACAAAGATGGCCACCGAGTGAACAGACTTTCCTATAAGGACTTTAAAATAGCGAAGCAGGCACTCCTAATGGTTAGGACTTTAAGAGTTACGGCTTGACACCTTAGATTAACTGTTATTAATAATTACAAAATAATTAACCAATCATGTTTTGATTTACAATTTCATGAGAAAAAAAGTCACAAATGTTTAATCTAGAATAGCCATAAAAATGTTCCTGCAAATCTTCTTTATCTTAGTGCTAACATACTACTAGAATCCCATAGGGAAGCTAGCAGAAATTAGCATTGTCATAGAAGTGAGTTTTTTTCTTGTTTTGAACATGTTGGCTCTGAAATTGTAGGTTAGTCCTATTTTTCTCTGGTTTTCATATAAAGTCAGCTTAACTTTTATCACAGTGATGATGCACTGTCTACATAACTCATCTTCCCCCTACTGCTCCAGCTCAATCTCTTGTTGCAGCAGAAGAAGCAAAAAATAGAGCCTAATTTTCCAAAGTACAGCATCCATTCCTCTTCTGAGCTCTGCTTTTTAAAAAAATAACAAAAGGACACTATTATGAGGTCTTTAATGTCCTTATGGTGGCAGCATCCTACAAAAGCCCTGGTATTCAGCCAGTGATACACACTCCTAAATGTAATCATGTACAGTACCGTGCAAAAGTCAAAATAGCCATTATGTACAATTTTTCTTTTTTGTCTGTTTTCTTTTTCCAGTAACGGCTTCTTGACAGCTACACATCCTTTCAGACTCATAGTGTTGATTGTCTTCTTACAGTGAAAGGATGGACAGAAATACATGTGGATTTTTTCAGATTTGAAGCAAGAGTGGAGCTTGAGTTTTTAAAGCTTTAAGTTCTGTTCATCTGATGGAGACAGTTTTGGTGGTCTACCAGGTCTTGTACAGTTGTTAGAAAACACATTTTCTCTATATCTCATTTTTTACTGCAGTTTTGGAACCTGTTTTTTCACTTACTTTCCTTCCGTATCTTATATTCTCAGAAATATTTCCTGAAAAATGAATAACTTGTGCTAAATGGCTTGATATAAATATAAAGAGATATAAATGATATAAATGATTAAAGGGTGACTTTTGTCCAGTAAATCTCATATTCTTGAGAAATACTTCCCATAAAAGCTTAAATGTTTTCACGCTTTGACAGAAACGAATGATAACTGATGTGGAATTCATATTGTCAGGGACTCAACTTGAAGCTCTGCCATTGCACTAGAAATGCATTATGTTTTATTAAATTAGCTTCATGTCATTTTTTAAATTAAATTTGCGTTACATTTAAAGGGATCTGGGTTTCTGAAGGTTTTAGTGATTGCTTCATTAGACTTAAGCCTTTTGAGAAACTGCCTGTGGTAATTTTCTCAAAACTAAAACTCTCAGGTGAAGAGCAGCAAACCTCATTTAGTCATGAACGTACATATAGACTGAACACACAAACTTACAGTCATGTTTAATGCAGTTGTTTACTCACAGTTTCAATAGGCGCTGTTTTGCTCTTCCAGGGCATGTGGTTATTTTGAATGCAGTGGCTGATGAGTCGCATTGACTGACGTCATTCAACCGTTTACAGGCATGTTGGCACAAGTGTTGCCAAACATTTTTGTCAAACATAATCAAAAGTCTATGTGGCCAGCTGGCGTCCCACGCAGCTTTTGTGCCATCCATACATTTAGAATTTAAAGGGTCCTCTGAAAGCGGTGAGTAAATATTAAAAAGCAATGAATAATTAACATATTGACTCATCATTTAACTTTGTTTTTTTTTTAAGAAAATAATTCTATAGGTGACAACAGTGAGCTACTCACTCTTCAAATTAAAGGTTCTTAAATGATTTTGTTTTATTTTTTTTTATTTCATGCTTAATAAATAAGTTAAAATAAATTGCTATTATTGAGAAACTTTTTATTAAAAAAATTCTTCATTTCTTTTTTAACTCTCTTTTATGAACAACATTAAGAATAGATGGCATTCTTGGAAAAAAACTTGTTCTTAAATCTACAATAGACTTTTTAAATGAGTTTTACAAAATAGAATTGTTAAAATAGAGCACAGAGAAATTTTACTGTTGGCTATTTTCTCATTACATTCTAGTTTATATTTGCTAAAATGCCATCAATGTTTGTAGATGTGTCACAGTCATGACATACTAAATGTAAATATACAGCCTGTGAGTATTATGTTAACTTTTACAGCTAGCAATGTAAATAACTGCAAACAATTTAATTGTATCCTTTTGTTGTTCATTGTATGCAGTTAATACAGTACAGGCTTAAAGTGGCCAAATTGGATATCTTGCTTTCTAGCTGTCATGTAAATTAAAAGGCTGTTACAAACGTTAAGACCACATGAACTGCTGATGCAACTTGTAAACAAACAGAAGAGGAGACGAAAAATGAAGCAACGCAGCTGCTTTTGTCTCTGCTGTGATGACACAGCTAATTCAGGTGGTCCTTTAACTCTGTTGAATATATAGTGAATGCTAAAGGCTCACACTACAAATGTTATGTGGTCATATGTGTCCCTGACCACCTCTGAAAGTGGTTTGAGTGATCGGATCACAAAGTGTCTCCAAGGCACACTGTGCCCCATTTATACCTGTACTTAGCGCTGTCTACTTGTGATCGGATCACCCAGGGTGCATGCTAATTGTAAGTGTGAACAGGCCTTAATAGCTCTCAACTGACAACTGACACAGCTCAATTGCAAATAAACAAACATTACTCACCACTTAATTCTAAGTGCAGTATAGCAGCAGTCAGAAGTTAGAACTTTTGTTTACATCAACCTGACTGTTCACATTCTGCTTGTAACATAAGCATATGATTTTGAAAGCTAACAAGTGTGCAAAATAATAATGGTCAGCTGAAGTAGTTGCGATCAGCTCAAATGATTGTGATCGGGCTATACATAATACTAATAATGGCAATCCTAAACGTTTGGTTCATCTTTAGTTTTTCTCGATTTTGATGTGCTCAGGTGCTGAGCAGCTTCAAAATTGATCACGTGTAATTTATGTAAAGCTGTAAAAGTTAACATAATACTCATAGGCTGTATATTTTCCTTAAAAAGTGGTTCTTCAAGAGCTAGGGGTTCCTTTACTATTAAAATAGTTCTATATTGCTCCAAAAAGGATTCTGCTATTATTAGACATCATCAGACTTTATTTTGGAACTAAATAGAACCCTTTATACATGATAATGAACTGATAGCCTACATACGAAAAAACATCCAAATGAATATTTTTTCAAGATTGCATTCAAGAAATTTTTTATGAACTCATTGTTGACTTGTATGGAGCCCCGCTGGTGACATCCTGTATAAATAAAAATAATGCATGGCCACGACTTAGTAAGGCATGAGAATGAGATGATTAAGTCGTGGCCATGACTTAGTAAAGCATGGGAACGAGATCCTAGAAGTGGCCACGACTTAGTAAGCCACGCATTATTTTTATTTGTACAAGATGTCACCAGCGGGGCTCCGTAGACTTGAGATCCTTCATGAGTGATTTTTTTCAGGAAAGCTGTGATGAATCCTCTTCCAGAAGTGGTTCTTCTATGGAATCGCTCCAAATAACCCTTTTTGGCAATTTAATTACTCCTATATTTAACAATATAATGGTGTTTATATGTTTTTCCAGTGTCATTTGTGGACAATGGATGAGACAATGCATTTTAATGAACACAGTGTTTTTCAGAAATGGGCAGCTGATCTGTCCACTCTGATTGGTCACTCTCTCCATGAGACTTCACACATTCTGCAGGTACACAGGACAGAGCTCTAGATGTGTGAAAAATCAAATCCCCATCATCCTGTCGGAGCCCGCACATGCGTGTGTGTGTGTGCCTTTGTGTGCATTTCATGTGTTATGATGTTTGACAGGAAAAAAACACACCTCGCTGCCCCCTACCCTGCTCTCTCTCTCCATCCTGCTGACAGAGGAAGGTCTCTCTGACATTGAGTTTGCATTAAACTTTTCATTGCCTGTGATCACGGCAGAAAGATAAAAGCCATCAAAGCACACACACACCTCACAAGCAGAGCAGCACCCTGTCTTTGTTCAGTGTGTTTGTGTGTATGTGTGTGTGTATGTGTGTGTGTGTGTGTGTGTGTGTGTTAAAATCATTCTCTCTTTTTGTACTGTGTTTGTGTCTGTTGTGGATTAATGGCCCAATACATCCACTTTAACCTGGACATGTACGTTTTATTTCTCTGTCTCAAGTGATGTCATAGTAAGATGGTCTAATAACAAGGTTATTAGTATTTTATAACAATAATGAGGTTATTGTTAATAACAAAGTTATAATGACAATGTTTTTGTTATTTTTGCTGTCTACTACAGCATATTGGAAAACAGTGCAATATTACAACCACCAAGAGAGTGATGAAAAGTGACATATACACACAACTAACGCATAATCGAAAAACACTTTATGATTACAAAAGAAAAAAAATGTGTCCGATATCTATGAAAATACACAGAAGGTATTGCTATGGAAATAAAAGATGACTAAAAGCACATTCTATTTGAACCTGTTTGACATGAACATTACATTAAAAAATTGCTGTTACGTTTTACCCTGTGGTAGCTTGTGCACCCCTCTTCAGATAGATTTCAGTGTAACAGTTCAATAACAGTTAATCTGCTGTATGTGTGTGTGTATATATTCAGGTAAAGGTGACCTGATTGGAGCCAACTTGTCTGTGGAAAACCGGGTGATAAAGACTAACGCAGACGTGAAAGCGCTGACGTACTGTGATCTGCAGTGCATTAATCTGAGGGGACTGTATGAAGTGCTGGACCTGTACCCTGAGTACTCCCACCGCTTTGTCCAGGACATTACTCACGACCTCACCTACAACCTGAGAGAGGGACAGGAGCGCCATGTAAGAACTAAAAATAACCTAATTTACTATAACTGTTTTCACTAGCTTACTGCTAATGTTGGCTTTCCTTAAGAGTTGGCAAATGCCAGGCTGTGTTTTCCAGGAATCAGTAGCTAATGACATTATACAAGGCTAAAGTTCAATAAGGCTTTGATCCATCAGTAGAATAGAATAACAAAGTATGCAGAAGGGTTACTTAAATAGTCTTTTATGTCCATAACTTAGCTTTCCCTCAGTTGTTTTGATTGCATCCGTTTGACACAGTTATTATCATCTGCTATTATTAACAGTTATTAGTTCTGGTGACTTCAAATTTAGAACAAACCAAACTAATGTTCGCTAGGGAAGATCATCAACCAATGGGTGGTGATATGCCTGTCTGTGACAGAGACCTTTACAGATAAGCTCTTTTCACTAACACTTTACTGTAGGGCAGTGCTCATAAGCATACATGACACCCACATAAGCCTTTCATCAGAGCTGTAGCCTTTTGGGGGCCCGAAGCAGGATTTTCTTTGTAGCCCCCTTTTTACTAACTGATGTACTGTAAAATGAGAATAGAAAAATGACTTCCACAAGCTGTCTAAACCAACATGTGGCTTTAGAAACATTTCTGACATACACTGAGCTACAAAGTCAATTGTTATAATGTGCTATGTCATTTCTCTCAAAAAGTGTCACGACACTACTGTCAGAAAAAATGTTGAAATTACATAAGCAGCCTTTATGACAGATGGTGCCTATTATAAGCCTTTATAAATGTTTAGGTAGATTTATGTGAGTTGTCATTACAAACTTATGTCGGGTCATGTAGACTTATGAACGCTGCCCTACAGTATTACCTTCTTGTTTTATATTTTCTTAGGACATTTGCACAAACTACAAAAAATAGCTTGTGCTCATTTTAATTCCAATGAATTCTTGCTGTACTTTGCCCTGAAATGTTGTGTACATGCTCTGTTGCTGAGAAATGAACCCGAAGTATACACAAAGTCACTTGGCTATGCTCACATTGAGCATAATAAAAATATGGTGTAGATCATCTCTCACTGTCCATACAGGGCAATGCTAGCTAGTAGAGGGCATCTGTTGGGTCATGTTGGCACAACACAGCAGTTGATGCTCTCCTTCAAGAGCAACAGTATCTTGCTGAGCCTTGTCAGCAATATATTCAGAGACTTTTAGGCAAAATTCCAGAGTTTAATTAAAATCGGTCACCAGCAGTGCTGGATTAAGCAATTTTGTGGCCCTAGGTGATAAAAAGATGACCTTAGATGAGCATTTAATATGCTGCATAAAAATGATGACAGCATAACAGGACTGCCAATGTTGATGAGGTGACTAGAGTGAGAGTTTCAAGTGGCAGGAATGAAGGAATGAAATATTTTTTATTATTGTGATAAATTACATCACAAAATGTCACAATATGCCTTTCTGAGCATATCATGGACATTTGTCAGTGCTGCATGTTTGATTAAAAAGAGAGCATAATTATTCCTGTTTATCAGATTTAGTGCAGCACAGTGTGTGAAATGTTACATACAGGTATTTGGCTTTCATGGTTTTTGTGGCACTTTGTGTGTTAAAAAAATTTCAGACAAAATAAATATTGTGACCAATTATGTATCATGAAAAAACTTTGTGAAGTATCTTGATATTACACCTTGCCATATTGCCCACCTCTAGCATATCCACTGTTACTCTGCTTAGAACACTAATATCAACTACAGCTCATAGTCATTAACATGTACACCTGTGGTTCTCATACCAGCACTCCATACCTCAGGAAACCCTGCATGATTCAAAGAGGAAACATCGTGTAAAAACAGAGCTCACACCAGGGCCAGAGTGTTTTCAGACTAAAGGTTACATGATGCAGACCAGCTTACCCCAAACTGCATTTCTCCTGCTATACACACACACACACACACACACACAGAGCATTGTCTTCATGCAAAATAACTTTTTCTAAAATCACCACATTTTCATTTTCTTCATTTCTTTGTTGTTATTATTAAGCACTGTCAAGTTGTTATGCTACACTGAGATAACCAAGGTGGCTAGATAGTGGTAAAATAAAAACTGGTGAAAGCTTTTATCTTAAATTTGCCATAATCATGGTAGTCAATATGCTATAAAGTAATGGCAAGTTAATGTCAGCATTCCTCTCTTCCTTTTTATGATTCACACAAGAAAACTGTTACATTGGTAATGAAAAAAGTAATGAACTCTGTAGACCACGGCTTGTTGTGTTGTATGTCAGGCAGTACCAGATTCACAATGTTGTGCTGAATTTGATGCACTAGTCACTTGAGACTGATGCTTGTTATTTAAATTTCTGCTCCACCTTAAATAGTGCAGCACTTACACACTAGTGCCTGTACAAGAGTCTGAATGTAACTGATACATTATTTAAGGTACAAATGAGAATAAGAAGCTAAATTCAACCTTAAATAATCTCTACCCACTGTATGAGATGTTACAGTTAGCAAACATGGTCCGTAGCTCTTGAGTTGGGGGTCGCTGGTTAAATTACTGCAGCTATACTATAATATATAGTGTAGTATATTCTTGAGTTTATACATGAGCACAATAGCTGGCATAAAATGCTACTGGTATACTGGAAATTCTCCCAAATCTCCCGATTACCCACTGTTCGCGATATCATGGCAAAAAGTATATAAGCATGTCCAAGCCATTCATATTTAATGGAGCTGTTGTTTGCACCCTCTGTGGAACTAGACTACACTAAAGCCTATATATCCTATAATGTTAATTCATCCACCAGAGTTTCTGGAAAACATGATTATGCAAGTTCAGTATAGTAAAATGTATCAGCATTTGGAATTGGAGCTTTTTGCATGCTGTGTTTTCTGTCACTATATAAAAGAAGCACGATGCTGCCTTTATAGAAGCACTGCAGAAACACTGCAATATTTTCTGAGTGAGCATGTGCATACATTTAGAACAGAATGAAGCTTTTTTACTGATTTACTTAATCAGAGTAACAATAAAAGACAAAGTGTGAAGTATATTCCTATTCATATGTTTGCACAATATACATCTACAAATTGTCAGCATTGTTAGATCAGGTTCTTTACATATCAAAATAAATGTGACAACATTGAGAAATCACATTTTTATAAGAGAAAAGTGGACTAAATAACACAAATAGACACTTTTTGGCTCTGCATTGAAGAGTTAAGCTGAGCTATAACATTGCATTAGTGTCACGTTCACATTTAAACAGTAGCTTCATGTGCTATGGAGGAAGCACATGTTGGTTTTTAATTTCCCAGGTCGGTAACTATCTTGCAGCAAGAGATTTACATCAGGGAAAGAACAATATCATTGTAAATGATGTAATACCCATTACATTTCCATACTCCCCCCCCCCAAAAAAAAAATCGAATTCATCTGGCTTATCTTTATTCTTCCGTTCATGGTTGCTTTAAGCCAATAAAAAGTCCAAAGCAAAGTGTTCAGCACAATCTGAGCTGTACTCCATTTACCGTATTTAATGCTTGCACTCTGGGCTGTCGGGCTCTCCTTGAAAAGCTTTTTCATCAGCGAGAGGCTGCAAGCTGAGAGGCACGCTGGGAGATTTACACTATGATGGAATGCTCCTGCCCTCTCTGAGGAACAGAGGATAATAATTACTGCTAGCGTCGACACCACAGCACAGACCTACTTAAGACTCTGAGTGAAGAATGGTACAGGGAGTTCACTGCCTAACACAGAAACAAAGAAAGTTACAGACACTGGCGTATCTTTTGTCTCGTCCTAGATGTTGCACTCTCCCCTCAGCAGGGTGAGGGACGCTGTCGGTCAGCACAAAGGTTTGCTATTATTGAAGGTATTTTCTGCTCATGTCAGTGAAACAACCAGTGATATTTCATAGTTTAATTGTGTTACTTACAATAACAGTTCTGCAACAGATAGAGACAACTGCTGAGGCTAGCACTTTGGTAAGCAAAGCAAAAACGCCCAGCTAATGAATGCCTAAAAGTGGTCTGATATAGATGCTTGTGTGGTGAAGCTTTTTCACATTTCACGTCAGTACACTCTCAGAAAAAATGTACTAAATTTTTTATCTTTAGCACCTTTAGCTATGGAAATATAATGTCACTACATTTTCAGTATATCATTGCCATCTTTGAAAAACATATCTCCACTTATTTATGTTTTATTTTTACATAATTTGATCACAGCAGCTGTCCTTTACAGTGTGTCAAAATTTCATGATGGATGTCTTGTCCTGTAAATTTGTCTTGTCCTGTAAAGTTACCATTTTCTAACAGTGTATTGTTGCAGACCTGCATTTCCTCGTTGAAGCTTTTGAACGTGTTTACACAAAAATTAATGTCCGATGAAACTGAGCTAGTTTAGTTGTCCGTTTTTTAAAAGTTTTATTAGTACTGCATCTCAGGTTAGATCAACAAATCAGTTCAAGTTGAACCTTCTTAATTATTTAGTTTAGTCATTGCTAATTTCCACCCACAGGCTCCCCTATCATACATCTCACACTGCTGACCGTAGAAAGCTGTGGTGGCACTGGGATTCAAATCAGGAGCCACAAAGTTAATCAAACCCTTAAAATCTCAGGCTTATTACATACTAAGGCTTTTTATTCATCATCTACAGGGACTTCGATGCAAGCTGGCTGAGCAATTCTTGGGTTATAGAAGTGTGTAATAAAACTTTGGGCCTACCGCAGGACCTGGCCATTTAAGAGGTCAAATTTCCAGGTTTAAATGGAAAAAGTCTAAGATTTTTAAAGTGGTCTCAGACTTTGGACCCTACGGTATATAAAGGAAAGATTACTTACTACTCAACAAAAGCTAGGCTGTTTGTGCTCCCATGTACTCCAGATCATGAAAGTCTGTATAATTCATCCTCTGCTATGATAGGATTTGAATTTACAGCTGTAGAAACACTGCTGACCATAGAAAGCTGTGGTGGCACTGGGATTCAAATCATGACCTGTTGATGGTTAGATG